TGATAAGCTGATAAATGTAAAAAGACTAAAAATGACATCTTCATAAAATTTAAATTAGTTTGTTTACATATTAAAATTTAACATTTTGTCTTTAAAAAAAAATTAACATTTTGAAATAAAACTATTAGCATAATCATGATCTAGCATCTCATAATGAAGTAGCAATATTGTTGCAAATCTAATAATAATAATAATAATAATAATAATAATAATAATAATAATAATAATAATAATATTTGCGATGAAAGTTGCGGATAAAGGAGAAGAGAAAAGAGTTTTAATTGGGAAGGGTAAATTATGTCATTTCTTTAAAATAATAAGGATAAAGATGGAAAAAAAAGTTAGGAAGCTAAGAGCTTATTTTGAAACGCTACCTAAAGTAGCGTTCCAAAATAAGCTCTTTTTTAAGCTAGGAGCTTATTTTGGGAACATTACCAAACAGAACTTATAGCTTATTAGGAGCTTAAAATAAGCTATAAGCTCCTAAATAAGTTCTGCCAAACAGAGCCTTAGACTTTAGTTTTTTGTTTTTTGTTTTTTGTTTTGTTTTGTTTTTTTTTTTTTTTTTTAAAATTTGGTTTAGAAGTTCATTTTAGAGTTTAGTAGTTATGTTTTATCTATAGAGTGCACCTAGCAACAATATAAAGTAGACATAACAATATTATAAAATACACTAAACGATATCATGCATTAATAGCAACAATATAAAGTAGACAAAACAATAGTATAAAATACTTTCTCAAACATTTTACATTTTCAACCTAAAAAATCTAAGCCCCCACCCACCACCAGGGTTCGAACTTATCTATTATATTTGAAATGGTAACCGAAATACTATCACACTACATATATAGTAGTTAATTGGCACAAATAATATGTTTAAGTACACCCTTATTTTACATTTGAAGAATAATGCATACCATAGAAACTTACAAAATATAATTATTATATATATTTAAGCTTGATTAATGCTCTCGTGCATTCTTGGGAAGCATAATGTTTAATTAAGTTGTCACTTGATCTACTTTATGTATATTAAATTTGGACTCCTTCAATTCTCACTAGATCATGCATGACATATATATAATTATTATATATAATTATATATGAAAATAGGAAAGTCATATCACCAGAACAGATGCTTCAAATTTAATTAAACGCATTCATTATCATAAGAATTTTTGCAATATCCTTTTCGGTTTTCCATAGGTTAGTGATAATAATTAAACAACGTTAGGTGGTGATGGGGTGTTTTTAATAACTGTCTAATTTGACTTTATTTTGTTTAATTATTGTTTGCACATATAAAAAGCATTGGCCTGCTATTATCCTTGATAATATTATTATGCCCTGGTTCATGTCCAGTATCAATGAACTTCAGCTCAATCATTATATTTTAATATCTAAAGCTCGTGTTCTCTGATGTTTATTTTCTAGGTTTGGCATGTTCTCAGCATCATTATACAAGTGGTTTTCAAGAAAACCTTAATTGGATTACATTTGTGTGAAATATTCTAAAATATGTCTGTATATATATGGGACAAAAACTTGTGTGAGACCGTCTCATATATTTTGATGGGTCAAATTGTAGACAACTAGATGTATAAGTATCACAATTTCAATTATAAGTATTACTATATTTATCATTGTTAGGACTACTTGTTATAGTCTACTAGGACTCTTCTACTTACTTCTATATCTATGTTGTACAGACCTTTTGTTATGCAACTTCGTTAATCTAATCCTCATCTGGTATCAGTTTTGTCCAGGTTCTCTCCATGGCAAGTCTCAATGATGATGGTTCTGTTCGTGATTCTACCGAACGGACTGTTACTGAGCCTGCTCCTACCCTCGTTTCATCCCATTCAAACTTATCTTCCGCGCACCACTTTGTTTCGTTGAAACTTACGTCCCGGAATTATTTATTCTGGCGAACGCAGATGATTCCGTTCTTGGATGGTCAGGGGCTTCTTGGTTACGTTGATGGGTCCCTGCCGTGTCCGACGGCGGCGACGTCGGTGGCTTCGACGGCAGACAGCGCCGGTGGGCCTGTCCCCTCTCTTTCCGTTCAGCAGATGTGGCGCCGGCAAGACCAGGCCATATTATCTCTTCTGATATCGTCTCTGTCCAAGGAGACGCTTCCTCTGGCCGTTGGCCGGACCTCTTCTCGACAATTGTGGTTGGCTGTCGAACAGTCCCTAGGCTCCGCTACTCGTTCTCGGGCGCTACGACTGTTGGGCGAGCTTCAAGGGCTCCGGCAAGGAGGGGCGTCTGTAGCCGATTACCTTAGCCGAGCTCAAATATTGGTGGAGGATCTTGCTCTTGCTGGACGGCCAGTCACACTCGACGACCAGAACCTGTACGTGTTCCGTGGTCTGAGGCCGGAGCTTCGTCCCTTGGTTGCTCCATTGACTCGTGGTGCTCCGGTCACCTTGACGGAGCTATCCGATTATTTGGTGTCGCAGGAATTTATTTGTGCTGATGACGGTGGTGCTCCAGTGGCTATGGCGGCGAGGCGAGGTCGCGGTGGTCGGGGAGCTGGCGGCCAGTCGCGCGGCAACAGTGACTCCGGTGGTGGCGGTCGTGGTCGTCACGGCCGTGGGCGTGGCAGAGAACGCAACCAGACTGTGCGGTGTCAACTTTGCAATAGTCAAGGCCATTCTGCTCTTTCCTGCTTTCGCCTGAGCCAGTACGCGTCGAACCCGAGTCCGCAGGCGCATATGGCCTATTCGGCCGGTGATGGTGGTTCGGATGGGCCGCACCAATGGTTCCCGGACACCGGGGCTACGAACCATGTTACTCCGGATGCATCCGTGCTCTCTTCGGCTACTCCGTATGATGGTTCTGACACTCTGCGGGTCGGCAACGGTACAGGTTTGCCCATATTTAGTGTTGGTTCCACTTCGATAGCTTCGCCTTCTAGATTATTTTCGTTAAATAATGTGTTGCATGTCCCCGGTCTTTCGTCCTCGTTGTTGTCTGTTCAGAAATTCGCTAAAGATAATAACGTCTTTTTTGAATTTCATCCGTCGTTTTTTTTTTTTTTTTTTGTGAAGGATCGTTTGACCAGGGAGGTTCTTTTTAAGGGGCATGCTTCCGGGGGGTTGTATTCTTGGCCGTCATCGAGTTCTGCGCCTACTGCGTTTGTTGCGCGTGCGTCTTCGTCTATTTGGCACTTACGGCTTGGCCATCGACACGCACGTGTTTTGCGTCAAGTGTTGCAATTGTCTGGTGTTAGTTCGTTTAGTCAAAATAATGTGTCAGATATATGTTCTGCTTGTCAGTTAGGGAAATCCTCCCGATTCCCTTTACCCCGTGTTGATTCGTCTAGTACTCATGTTTTGCAATTAATTTATACGGATATTTGGGGCCCTGCGCCTGTTATGTCTGCAAATGGGTACCGTTACTTTGTTTTGTTTGTTGACGATTTTACTCGTTATGTTTGGTTTTATCCTATGCGGCTTAAAACTGATATTTATTCTATATTTGAGTGGTTTCGGTCACTTGTTGAGCGGTCTTTCTCCCGCAAAATTATTTCCATACAATCCGATTTAGGGGGAGAGTATAAGAAGCTCCACTCTACGTTTGTATCGCTGGGTATTCGTCACAGGCAATCTTGTGCGTATACGCACGGGCAGAACGGTCGTGTGGAGCGTCGTCATAGGCATGTCGTTGAGACTGGTCTAGCATTGATGGCTCATGCGTCTGTCCCTACTCGTTTTTGGGACTATGCGTTTGAGACCGCTGTGTATCTTATAAACAAAATGCCTACTCGAGTTTTGGGTAATGATTCCCCACATCTTCGTCTCCACCGGTCTCCTCCGTCATACTCCTTTCTGCGTGTGTTTGGTTCTCTTTGCTATCCGCTGCTTCGTCCATATAACCGTAACAAACTTGAATATCGGTCTGCTCCTTGTGTTTTTCTGGGGTATCCAGATGCGTTCCGAGGCTATCGTTGTTTGGATATCCGCACTAATAAGGTTTTCATCTGCCGCCATGTGCGGTTTGATGAGTCTGTTTTTCCGTTTGCTTCTCCTGTTGATTCGCAGGTTTCAGGTCCGGCTCCGGAGGTGCCGTGGGGTGTTGCTCCTGTTCCACTTTCTCACCCTGCTACGGTGGATGATTCGGATGATGTTGTTGAGCCGCCCGTGGTTGATTCAGATGTTGTTGTCGGTGGTGCTACAGATAGTGAGCGCACGGTCACGGCTCCCGTGCGTGGCCGGTCGCGCCGTGCAGCGCGGGCTGCTCTGCCCCGGTCTCATGTGATGGCCACCCGCAGCCGAGGTCCTACTGAGCATGTGGCTTTGGTCTCTACGACTGATAACTCTGATCCTACCTGTTACGCTCAGGCGGCCCGGCATCCTGAGTGGCGTGCGGCTATGGATGCGGAGTTTAACGCTTTACTTCTGAATTGCACATGGCGGTTGGTCCCTTACACTCCAGGTATGAATGTTGTTGGGTGTAAGTGGGTCTTCAGGACTAAGCGCAAGGCTGATGGTTCGATAGAGCGTCACAAGGCGAGGCTGGTGGCTAAAGGTTTTAATCAGGTGGCTGGACAGGATTTTTTGGACACATTCAGTCCTGTTGTCAAGCCCACGACTGTTCGCCTTCTTCTCTCGCTCGCCGTATCCCGGGGTTGGATCATTCGTCAGTTGGATGTCCACAATGCCTTCCTGAATGGCACTCTAGCTGAGACTGTGTACATGCGGCAGCCGCCAGGGTATGAGGACAAGGCATTTCCTGGTCACGTCTGTCTACTTCAGCGGTCTCTGTACGGGCTGAAGCAGGCTCCCCGTGCTTGGTTCACACGGCTGCACACTTTTCTGGTCTCAATTGGTTTTGTTCCTTCTAAAACTGATGTTTCCTTGTTTTATTATTCTCATGGTGGTGTGCAGCTTTATTTTCTTGTGTATGTGGACGACATTCTCGTTATGGGGTCAGATTCGGCTCGTGTGACGGGGCTTGTAGCTTAGTTGGCGGCAGAGTTTAAGATTCGTGACATGGGGTCTCCGTCCTTCTTCCTTGGGATTGAGACTGTTTCTCTGTCCGATGGTTTGTTGCTCTCTCAGCGGCGCTATATGAGTGATATTTTGAAGCGCGCCGGTATGATTGACTGTAAGCCCGTTGCTACCCCTGTGTCTCTTGCGGTGACTGATGATTCTGCGTCGGCTCCTTTTGATGATCCTACTCAATACCGCAGTCTGGCCGGGGCACTTCAGTATCTTACAGTTACTCGTCCGGACTTGTCATATGCGGTGAACCGGCTTTGTCAGCACATGCATACTCCCACCATGGCGCATTGGGGGATGCTAAAACGGGTGTTACGGTATGTCAAGGGCACTAGTGACCTGGTTCTGTTTGTCAGACGTTCTGTTTCCACTGATATTCATGCATTCTCTGACTCGGATTGGGCCGGTAATCCGACTGATCGCAAGTCGACGAGTGGGTTTGCTGTCTACCTAGGTGGCAATCTCGTTTCTTGGTCTTGTCGCAAGCAACGTACAGTGGCTCGCTCGTCAACAGAAGCTGAGTACAAGGTCTTAGCGGATGTGTCTGCGGAAGTGACCTGGCTTGTGTCACTGCTGAGGGAGATTGGACTGTCTCCGGAGTCTCCGCCCAAACTGTGGTGTGATAACTTGGGCGCCACCTATCTCTGCGCTAACCCGGTATTTCATGCGCGAACAAAGCATGTGGAGATTGACTACCACTTTGTTCGTGACGAAGTCTCCAAGAAGGAGATTCAGGTTCATTTCATCTCCACGAAGGATCAGCTGGCTGATATTTTCACTAAGGCGCTTCCGTCTACCCGGTTTCTTTTTCTGCGTGGCAAGCTTAATGTTGCAGCTGGTCCACCTTAAGCTTGAGGGGGAGTGTTAGGACTACTTGTTATAGTCTACTAGGACTCTTCTACTTACTTTTATATCTATGTTGTACAGACCTTTTGTTATGCAACTTCGTTAATCTAATCCTCATCATCATTAGTAACAATAAATTTTAGCTTGAATAGTATCACAATTTCACATAAAACTATATAAGTATTACAATATCATTTATTTTAAATTCAAATTGGTATTAAATTTTCTACAATAAGTATTACAATTTCTTTCATAAGTAACATAATACTAATGTACATATAAGTATTACAATATTTGCACCAAAATAACACTCGGTAAGTATCACAATATCATTATTAGTGATGAGATATGGACCCGAGCCCGGAAGGCTGATGTTAGTTTATTTATTTCAAATAGTAAATGATCAATATCCTAAATAGTATCACAATATCGCATATAAATATTACGGAGTACACTATATATATTATAAGTAATAGTTTATTTATTTCAAATAGGCATTAAATTCTCTGAATATGTATTATGATTATATCATAAATAACAAACAACTATCATATCATAGATTTCACCCGTCTTATGAATTATTAAGACCAATGAGAGGTTCTCACAGAAGTGTGACTCAAAATATACATGTACAGGAAGACATTGGTGAGAGGGCAGCCATAATGGAGGCCAGGGAGTTGGTTTTGGCACGTGGCAAGAACCAACAAGCTAGAATCTGATCAGCTTATCTGATCTAGCTATCTGGCCGGCCAATTCAAACTTTCAAACATCTGGGTTGACTGGGAAGTAGCTAAAGAAGATGGGTTGTGCCACAAAAGGTGAAGTATTAGTTTACTGAACAGTGAACACCAAATCTCTGTCTGTCTGTCTTTCAAGTTGATGAATCTATCTATATATCAAGGATGAGATGAGATATGTTTGACAGTGACCATGCATATCATCCTGCACTTGAACCATGCATGTAACATGTGGGAATTCACCTTCAGATCAGAGTTCAGACGATATATATATATATATATATATATATATATATATATATATATATATATATATATATATATATATATATATGATGCCTGCTACAACTTCAAACTACAAATAATTTCAATTCTCCAGAATTTAAAAAAAAAAAATCTATTAATCAAATTATATTGATGAGTAGAATGTGAATCATGAACATTTAAACGGTCTCGATACGTCTCCCCAACAGGTTAAGGTTAAGACATGTTGTAGGGTCGGAAGGGAATACAATTCTGCCTGTGACATTTTTCATGTGCATGTTTAGCTGGTCTGGGGTAGGAATGTAGGATTGTTATTGGATTCTCTCATCTGCTCAAGGCTTTGGATCTGACTCTATAACAATGTGGTATCTGTTCATAAATATTTTTTCAACCTATTGAAGCACAATGAGCTAATAACATCTCCATTGAACTCGAACTCACAACCTTCCATATGGAAGTCCAACTCGGGTGCCATTAAATTAGACCACGAGATTGTTACATAGGTTGTTTTGTTTCAAATTATTACAACTGAAAGCGGTTTATTAGTTTTCTTAATTTGAATCTGTCAATTATAGACAATCTCAGCTAATTTACTCCATTTACCAACTAGGATAACAAGACAAAATTTATTTAATGAATACTTTCAGGTAATGGCTTTGAATTTTTTTCATCACTAAAAAAATTATTACATACATATATAAATAAAATAAAATAAAATAAACCAAATATCGGCTAACGGCGCGCTTAGATTATCCATAATCATGACAACCTAAAAAGTAGAAAAAGAAAAGCTTCAACCGTCAACCTGATTAATCATGTTAACAACACTAAATTATTAGTGTTGATTAAGAAGGGAAATTATCATGTCTTTCTTGTGGTCCAAAGGGGGGAAGGATTACTTATTTACTTAGAGAAAGATTCCATCCTCAATTATCATGTTTAGCTGCTCCGAATCGCGTCCCGCGATACTTTAGGGACGAAGTCACTGTGTGGCAGCTGTCCTCCTCCTCAACTCCATCCCTTTATATATATGTATGTATATATAAATATATAGCATTAAAGTTTATATAAAGCTTATATTTATATTGAAATTATTAATAGTTTGAGTACTTTTTTTTTTTGAATGTATAGTTTGAATAGTTTAGTTGATTACGTTGAACTTTAAATTTATTTATGTCATAGGTTCAAAAATCTCATTACCAAAACTTGTTCTTATCTTTTCTATTTTTTAGTATAGTCTACTTGTTATGAATAAATTAAATGTTCTTTTAGTCTACTTTTTATGAATCATTTAATTAATGTAGTATATAAGTTTATATTATACTTCACTAGTATTTTCACCCGTGCGATGCACGGAATGGAATTGTTGTAATATATTAAGAATATTTAAATCGATATATAATTATTTAAGAGTTAATTTCACCAGAGGTCGTTTATCTTTCCTGACAATTCCAAATTTAATCCTAGACTATAGTTATTAATTATTACAATTTATTCTATGTTACAACTCTTACGTTAATATTCTTACTATTATTATTAACACTTAATTACTTTTAGATATTATTATTATTATTATTATTATTATTATTATTATTATTATTATTATTATTATTATTCATTGTATTCGAATTAATTTAGAAAAATTTAAAGTTGATCTAACTAAAAGAAATTAAAATAGTGTTATTCAAATTATTTTATCAAATTGATTATGTTTCATATTTTGTCATAAATATTTTCACATTTTCACCTCACTCAAGCATATTTTTGGCTCCGACTCTAAGTATCATATGTAATCTATCAAAAACATTATATTCTATTGTAAGTTCAATTCCTAGTAGGAGTAGATGAATAACCCAAATTAATTTATTTCTTTGTAATCATTTGCCGACTAGAGCCACGAGGCGAAATTTACCCCTTATTGTATAAGATAAAGTAACTTTAGGTTGCATACAAAATTTCAATATGATCAACATATTAATAAAAAAGAAAGGAAATCAACCATATACTCTCTTATAATAATTAATTTCAGAATTAGTTCTTGATTATAGTGTATGTTTAGGTTTAGTTCTCAACTAAAAATTTGACCAAATTTTTCCCGTAACTTTAATTGCAATCCAAATTTATTCATATGTTATCAATTTTGTTTCATATTTTATCAAGGACTAAATTCAGAATAAATCCTTTTTTGAGATAATTATATTAACTTATTATATCAATTTTTTTTAGCGTACTCAAGAATTTGAATTGAAATAATCCAACGGAGTAACTTAAGTCTCTCTTTGTGGGGAGAATTTCAGGACAATCCGGGTTTGATTTTCACAAGTGACGACTCTTTTTGGGCTAATCCCTGTATCTCCCGAAACAAACGGGGATTAGTCAAGTGGACTTAGACCGTTAAACGGATATAAAAAGATCCGACTCACCTCATGATTTACACTCAAAAAAATTGAATTTAAATATATATTTTTTTCGTACTACTCAAAAAAGATCGAACTCATGACACTTAATGCCACTAAACCATAATATCATTGGTAAATGTTAGTATACCTTAATTGTTGTAATATTATAAAAAACACGTGGTGGATTGTCGTGTCAAAGTTCCATCTGTCCCCATGGTAGGCTTTACTAATTCTTAGGTTTAATCAAAAGATGTTCTGATCTTCATCTCCTAATTAAAATTGAATAGCATTAAGTTACCATCATTTTGCTAATTTTAATTTAAGGGAAATACTTCCTCCTCCTATAAATGCCACACAATTTTTGTGATTCCTTAATGTGGCTAGTTTTGAATTGTTAGTTTTTTTTTTTTTTGTTTTTTTTTTTTGTTTTTTTTTTTTTTAATTTGAAATCTCAACTTTCTATTGATGTCAATCGGGCCAACATATTCGATTTTGGTCTAGTCTTATCAGACTGTCAGGCTTATTATTGATTCAGGTTAATCAACTTTTTTCTTTTTTGGGTTTAAAATTTTTTACTATAATCTTAAAATCTCGGGTTGTTAGGCTTATGTTGCATACTTAATTAAAACTTTTGACATTTTCAAATTAGCATTCTAAACTTTCAATATTAATAAATTGACATATTTATACTAATAATAGATATAAACTTATACATCATTCAATCAATATAAACCTCAATTTTCAAATTATAACTAAAAATAATTAATATATTTACACTATAATATAATAATTATAATAATTTTTATTTTTCATTATTTATTGTCATAAAAATTATTTTATTTTGTAATAAACTTATTAAAATTTATTTACAAATTTAATAAAAATTACAAAAGATAAGTTTACATATAAATTACTTGTATATTTTGTTCCACAATACTTGTAAAACAAAGAATAGTCTTAAGTAACTCGAGTTGTAGGGTTATCTCACTAAACTTCGGACTAGCCCGTCTGCATCATTAGAGTTATCGATTTCAAGCCTTTTTTTATCGAGCTAATATTTTATTGCCTTAATCCTACAATTTTTTGAACTTATCGGATCAAGCAATTCAAGGTTAAGATTGACATCCCCTTGCTATAAATTTCCCCATCATCAAAGAGTGGCAAAAAGTAGCATTTTTTTTTTCTCCCTAAACTTTCTCACCCAGAAAGTGGTATTTATATAGGTTTTATTGGACCAAATTTTTTATTTGTCATTTTTAATTGTCAAACATACATCCCTTCATATATTGTCGGCAATTCCTTTCACTAATAAATCAGCGTGCTTTAATTTCCCATCTGAACCACAAATTTCTTGTGACCATATGGTGCCGATATAATCAACATTATTGACACAAATAAAACCTACACTTCTCTCAAGTAAATTCAAATGACAACAATTGATCAAATAAGACCCGTCGACTTGTCGACGTGTCTCAATTATAAAGAAATTTGGTCCAATAAAAAATTAAAGATGTTATTAGACCATATGCATGAGATTAGCCAGGGATAATTTTGTCAATCTCCTTAGTTGGTTGCAACGACTTTTGGCGCCTTTTTTTTTTTCCTTGTGTACTTAATGCTTCATACCTGCTTGTAACTGACCAACTTTCTCATTCATTGAATCAACTGGTTTCATTCCTTCCTTCCAGTATGATCTCTCTTTCACATTCACAATAGCAAGTCACTATTCCATCATGGTATCAGAGCCATGGAGGTCGAGTTACGCTACGGCAGTTACTGGCGGCGTATCCAATCAGTCGGCGAGTCCGACGCCTTCAACGAATCAGTTTCCGGCAATTGCAGTCGCACCGAGCAACTTCCAGAGAAGTCAAGTCGAGGATATGGAGAATCCTCTGTATTTCAACGCGAATGAGAATCCTAATAGCGTTTTAGTCAGTCCGGTTCTCACAGGCAGTAATAATTACGGATCATGGAGCATCTCCATGCAAGTGGCGTTGGAGGTGAAGAACAAATGGTCCCTTGTCGATGGCAGTGCGGCGAAACCGGACAGAAATCAGAGCAATTACGGCGCTTGGAGAAGATGTAATTTGATGATTAAGTCGTGGATTCTCAAGGCGGTGGATCCTTTGATCGCACAGAGCATCATGTACATGGATTCCGCATCGGACATATGGAACGACTTGACGAAGAAGCGATTCGCACAGCGCGATCCTCATCGGATCTCGATTCTCCAAGGTGAGATCTATGGACTCAAACAGGGAAAACTCTCTGTAAATGATTACTATACCAAGTGCAGGTCGCTATGGGAGGAGATGAACGAGCTGCGTCCCTTACCGATCTGCAAATGCATCCCTCGTTGCTCTTGCGATCTGATGGATGAAGTGAGGAAAGATCGCGAGATTGACCAGATCATCCGCTTTCTTCAAGGCTTAAACGAGGAATACAATTCACTCAAATCAAATGTCCTAGTTCTAGATCCGTTACCGGAGATATACAAAGTATATGTGATGGCAGAAAAGTATGAAAGGCAGCTCACGATCAACAACATGAACCTGGAATTCAATCACGCCAATGCAGTGCAGAACAATCCCTCTGCAGAAGAAACAGTTGCCATGGTTAACTATTATAATGGTAAGAAGAACTTTAACTCAAACAGTGGAAACAAGAATGCTAAATGTACTTACTGTGGCATGGTTGGGCATACGGTCGAAAAATGTTACAAAAAGCACGGGTATCCACCGGGGTGGATACCGGGATACAAATCAAAGGGGAAGCAATCTGCCATGGCAGCTACTACCAGTTCTGAGGCTGCTGCCATGATCACACCTGAGCAATTGCAAAAGTTATTGACCTTGCTGCAAACTCAAACTGGACAAGGCCAAAGCCAGTGGCCCGTAACTGCAGTCGTCTCTCTTGTCCCTAAGTTCGACAAACCAGAATTGCACAGTGAAGGCAAGTGTAGCTCATACTCTTATATAAACTCTGCTAATCTGTCTTCATCTATATGGATTTTAGATTCGGGAGCCACCGACCATATAGTGTGCTCCCTTGACTTCTTTGATAACTATTATGATGTTGAAGGAACCATGGTGAATCTACCCAATGGAGAAGGAATCACTGTAAAACGCAAAGGGAGTATTAAATTGGCAGATGATATATGGTTGCAGAATGCTTTATATATTCCAGAGTTCAAGTTTAATATTGTCTCAGTTAGCAAATTACTGCAAACTTCATCTCATTCCTTAATATTTGATTCTGGCCAGTGTCTAATACGGAAGCTTGGGAAGATGATTGGTTTTGCTAGAGAGGATAAGGGCTTGTATGTGCTTCTCCAACCACCTGAGATTAAAACCTGTAGTCACTTTGTTTTGCAGTGTAATAGTGCTCAGCTTTGGCACAAACGTTTAGGGCACTTTCCCATTAATAAAATGCATTTCATCAAGAATATAACTGCTTCATATTCCAAATGTATGCCATGTGATGTGTGTCACCTTGCTAAGCAGAAAAGAGCATCATTCCCTCTGAGTGTTAGTACAACAGATGAATGCTTTGACTTAATTCATATTGATATATGGGGTCCGTTCTTGATTGAATCTTTGTGGGGTGAGAGATATTTTCTCACCATTGTTGATGATCATTCGAGATACACCTGGATCCATCTCATGAAAAATAAATCTGAAGCCAGGGCAGTGATCAAAAGCTTTCACAGAAAAATTCAGACTCAACATGGTGCAAATATAAAGATCATTCGTAGTGATAACGGATTAGAATTCAAGATGGCCGAATTTTTTGATGAAACTGGGATAATCCATCAGACATCATGTGTTAATACTCCCCAGCAGAACGCAGTGGTTGAACGGAAGCATCAACATGTCCTAAGTGTGGCTAGGGCACTTCGTTTTCAAGCCAATCTTCCTCTTGAGTTCTGGGGATTGTGTGTTCTTTATGCTACATACATTATCAATAGGGTTCCTTCTCCGGTTACAGATTGGTTAAGTCCCTATCAGAAATTATACAAGCAGCCACCAAACCTTAATGATATGAGGGTGTTCGGTTGCCTTAGCTATGCAGCCACTCTGCCTACAGCTCGCCACAAAATGGCACCGCGCAGTAAACGGTGTATCTTCATTGGTAGACCAGCAAACACCAAGGGATACCTGCTATATGATCTGCAAGACAAATCCATTTTCATATCCCGAGATGTGATCTTTTATGAACATTGCTTCCCTATGGCTAATCAAGTTTTTGATGACAATTCACAGGTGTTCAACCCCTCGTTACCACAGATTTCCAGTAATGAGGACATTGGTCTACCCACACCTGATCAGGAACACTTGCATGGTACGAGTGTTAGCCACAGTGAGGGACCTCCTTCATTCTTGAGACACAACCCCCCAGTGTTCGAACAGCCAGTATGTGAATCATGTGAGTCTGCAATCCATCCTAGCAATAATGATGTAAATGGCAGCAATAATGATCATCCTAGCAATAATGATCATCCTAGCAATAATGATCAGTCTAAGCCGCAATCTGTTCATGATGAAGAATCTGAAGCTGGTCAGATCAATATTAATCCCAGGAGATCAAGCAGACAACGAAATGTGCCAACAAAGCTCTTTGACTATTATTGTGACAGTGCCATAAGTCACAGGACTTCTCCACATTTGCTATCAAAAGTAATGTCTTATGATTCCCTTACTCCTGCACATAAGATGCTGGCCTTAGCTGTTTCCTCAATTAAAGAACCTTGGACTTACAAGCAAGCTGCTCAGCAAGAATGCCGCTTGCTGGCAGAAGGCAATGAATGCCGAGATCGTGGCTCTTCAAGACAACCACACCTGGGAACTCACCGACCTTCCCCCAGGCAAAACACTAATAGGGTGCAAATGGATTTTTAAAGTCAAGTTGCGCTCGGATGGCACAGTCGAACGGCACAAGGCGAGGCTTGTAGCGAAGGGATTCACTCAACAATTTGGTGTGGATTATTTGGAGACATTCTCCCCGGTTGCTAGACTAACCACCATTCGAACTCTACTGGCTGTGACCACATCTAAAGATTGGAACATCCATCAAATGGATGTCAACAACGCCTTCCTACACGACGACTTAAATGAGGATGTTTATATGGTTTTGCCTCCCGGATTTCAGAGTGAGAAGCCCAACCAAGTCTGTAAGTTGCTTCGATCATTATACGGACTCAAACAAGCGAGTCGTCAGTGGAATGAGAAATTGAGTTCGGCTCTGCTACAAATCGGCTTCCAACAGTCCAAGACCGAACCTTCTTTACTTACCAAAGGGGTAGATGACAACTTCATTGCCTTGCTAATATATGTCGACGACATAATTGCTGCCAGCCCCAGTATTCAAGCAATTAACGCTGTTAAAGAATTCCTAGATGCTGCGTTTAAAATCAAAGACCTGGGGTCTATCAGTTACTTCCTGGGAATAGAAGCACGCAAAGTGAATGGTGGTTTGAATCTCTGCCAACGGAAATTTGCGTTAGACATCCTTGACGAGGCAGGCTTTATTGACTGTAAGCCGGCGAGATCTCCCATGGCACAAGGACTGAAACTTACGCATGATGATGTTACTCCTTTGCCAGATCCCAGCAGTTACAGAAGACTGGTGGGGCGTATGCTCTATCTCACTGCCACGAGACCGGATATAGCTTACTACGTCCAGCAATTGAGCCAGTTCGTGGACTGCCCTACTGACAAGCATATGTTAGCCGCACACCGCATTCTGAGATACATCAAGCAAGCTCCAGGTCAAGGGTTGTTGTTCCCTAAACACTCTGAGCTTCATCTGAATGTGTTCTCAGACTCCGATTGGGCTGCTTGTTCCGAGAGCCGGAAATCCATTACCAGCTACTGTGTTTTTTTGGGCAATGCTCTAATCTCCTGGAAATCAAAGAAGCAGAGCACAGTCTCACGATCTTCATCCGAAGCTGAATATAGAGCATTGGCTGCTACCACCTGTGAAATTCAATAGCTGAGCTATGTCCTAAAAGATTTACATGTTGAGATGGATAAACCAGCCACGTTATTCTGTGATAGCAACTCGGCCATCGCCATTGCCGAGAATCATGTCTTCCACGAGCGCACCAAACACATCGATATAGATTGTCATATCGTGAGGGAAAAACTTCAAAAGGGATTGATCAAGCTTCTGCCGGTTTCCACGCTGAACCAAGTAGCTGATGGCTTCACGAAGCCCCTTGCCACACTGCAATTCTGTCAATACGTTTCTAAGCTGGGCATACAAAACTTATACGCTCCAGCTTACGGGGGGGGGGGGGGGGGGGGGGGGGTATTAGACCATATGCATGAGATTAGCCAGGGATAATTTTGTCAATCTCCTTAGTTGGTTGCAACGGCCTTTGGCGCCTTTTTTTTTCCTTGTGTACTTAATGCTTCATACCTACTTGTAACTGACCAACTTTCTCATTCATTGAATCAACTGGTTTCATTCCTTCCTTCCAGTATGATTTCTCTTTCACATTCACAATAGCAAGTCACTATTCCATCACATGTCAAACTCAATAATATAAGATGAAAATTACAAAAAAGTTCAGTCCACTGTGTTTCTTCCATTAATTACTTTCATAGTGTGGTGTAAGATAAACTTTAATTTATAATTATCTAAAAAATTGTCAAAACCTTTGCCAAATTAGTATTATAAAGTCGATTTCTAAAGCACTTTTGACATAAAGATTCATTTAGCTTGTCAAAATCCCCAAGCTAATTTCATAATTACATTAACAACATTTAGCTAGATATCATGTTGGAATTTTTTTATTTTTTTATTTTGGCCCTGCTGGGATGTATTGTTACAATAAAAATACTATTATCCCACTTCACACACTGTTTTTCATTAGTTTTTCTTTTTTTTTTTTGAATTTTCCATTAAAGACTAAAATTTGTATTGTTTTTATAATATATCTAGAGATCCCATATGCACACTCTTTTTGTTTAAGTATTAAATAAAATATATTTCTAAAAGAATAGAAAACTGTAGATGAATATTTGTTGCGTTGGCGTATGCTTGGGGTTTATTGGCTCAAAAATTTTCAATTGTAAAGCGATTGCTTATTGACTCCGGAAAGTGACAAAATCTACCCCACCAAAGGGAAGGCAAAATAAATAAATCCCCACTATATAGCGTACTGACAAGATGTAAATTATTTATTAATCTTTGGTTGTGTGAGTACAAACTAGGTAGGGAAATATAATGGAAAAGAAAGAATAATAGCACGTGGTTCAATATGGTACAAATTCCCCTGTTGAGTGATGCATAAAAGATGCGTCTTATTATTGCCTTTGTTGTTCTTAAATACAATATAATAAAAAGAGGGGAACCCAATTCAAATTGGTTAGAAAATTGAGTTACTAACTACGATAATGTCTCAAATTTAATTTTCTGTGAGAGCTTTCTATTAACCTTCTTAACTTGAGTCGGCATGTCAGCGTTTCTATAGGTAACTTAAGGTAGTTTACTTTCTTGTGGTGTAAGTTTTTTGTTAAATCAAAATATAATAGAAAGGGGAAATTACATTTCATTCCTTCAATTATTCCTTGTTAGTCATTTAGCCTCTTTTGTTGTTGCAATATATACCTTTAACTTAAAAAACCAGTTAAAGTGAAGTTATTTATTTTGAAGATAAATATCGAGATTAAATATGTTATAATTAAAGAAAAATATAAAAATTTACTAAAATACATATATACTAAGTAAAATCTTAACGGGGTTAATAGTTTTATTGCTTTATGGACTAAAATTGTCTTCTTTAAAAAATAAAAATTAAAGGTAAAAAAGTCAATAATTAAAATAATTAATAGAAAGTAATTGAGAGATTAAAAATACAATTTTCCCTAGAAAAATCTTGAAGTTAGAATCCTTAATCATGAGTTTGAATTTCATTACAATGTTAATTATATTGTACAGTCCCTCATGGGATGGTTGGTTTTTATTTGTTTAAAATCATTGAATTTCGTTCTTATAATACATTATATATACCCATCATTTTGATCAATAAAAATTTTTGAAAAAAAAAAAAGTTGATTAGACCTTAAGGGTGTGTTTAGAAATCAGAAAAATAATTTATGAAAAATATTTTTATTTTCAGAAAACATTCATTTCCAGTGTTTGGTTGCATTCTAAAAAAATGTCTTGGTGTGTTACGTTCATTTTACTTAAAATGAGCAGAAATGTGTAATTAAACATTTTAATGGACCAGGACTATGTGGTCCAATGGTATTCGGGTTGGACTTCCATTTGGAAGGTTGTGAGTTCGAGCCTCAGTGGAGGCGTTATTAGCTCTTTGTGTTTCAATAGGTTGAGAAAGTATATGAACAGATACTACAATGTAATAGAGCTAGTAGCATTCAAAAAAAAAAAACATTTTAATGGTTTTGTTTAGAGCATCCACACTAGTAGTTATTTAGGAGTTATTTCTACATGAATTCTCTCTCCCCCAAAGTTAATAGCTGATGTGGGGAGGAGTTATTTTCAAAAATATTTCTCCTGCAAAGTATGGTATATTTGTGGCCCAGTAGGTAAGAGAAATAATTAAAATATAGTGGGTTAAATGGTGGATCCATAAAAAAATTGAGAAATAACTCAAAACTGATGTGGAGAAGGGTTTTTAGGTGATTGAATGAGCTGGTGGAGGATGAGGCGGATGCTGGGACTCACAAATAACTGAGAAATAACCTCAACTGATAAGGATGCTCTTAGAATATAACAACATTTATAATAATTATAATTATAATAATAATAATAATAATAATAATAATAATAATAATAATAATAATAATAATAATAAATGGTAATGGTGGTGGTGATCGTGGTGTGGTGGCGGTGGTGTAGTGGCGGTGATTTCTGTGGTGGTAGTGAGGTAGTGGTAGTGGTGGTGGTGGCGACGGTGGTGGTGATGGTGTGGAAATTGAAAAATACCTTCTCCAAAAAAAATAGGAGAAGCTTAGTGATTTTTCAAGAAAATGGAGGTATTTTCTTTTGACCAAACACTCATTTTCCTTTGACTCACATTTTTCACTCTTTACCAAACACAAAAAACTCAAAAAATTAAATTATTTTCTAGGTCTCCAAACACATCGTAAAATTTCTATAGAATATAATAGTTATAACATAAAGTCAAAAATTGATCCTATCCGATGTCACTTGACACAAGATCTTAGGTATAATAGCATTTGTTAATTAAGGATTATATATAATATGTTTACATGTCAGTATATATGAGCTCATAGACTTTGTATACTAACCATATAAATATATAACTCCAGAATAGTATACGACAACGTGCAAGACTTTACAAGCTAACAATGTAACCTAAGTGTAGGTAGAATATCACTTTTTTGTACACGAGCCTAATAGTTATAGGGAGTATACTTACGCACACTACAGTCTACAGGCAGGTCCACTTTTGAATCTGGAAACTATTCGATCAGATTTATGTAAATAGTAATTTTGTGAAAAGAGAACCAAGTTTTTTGGTTTTAATATCAGCTTAAATATATTTTATTTAATTAAAACAACATATATTCTTTAATATAAATTATAAATTTTAGGGGATTTGAATTTTTGTATTGTATTAGCAACGGTATTATAACGGGTGAATGCATGCATATAGAACCAATAATTCCAAAGAATATATAGACATCCACAATTTATGATAAATAATTGTTTTGGACACAATTTGTGACTAATATAATGCTCATTTTGACTCAACCATTTCAAGCATTGCATATGCACTTCCACTCAATTATGATGGGAGTCCATTCACCATTTATGTCTCCTCATACTATCCACTGCACAACAATATTGTTATATATTCTTTGTATCTTTTAATATGACTAATATTTAAAAGGCATTGCTAAATCCTCATTTACACTTTATGTAAAATCCAACCTCCTCTAACAGGGTGTTTGGTTGAAGGAAATTTAAATTCCCTTCCCACTTAATTTCACTTCATTTCAAGTGTCACAAAATTCCTTTGTTTGGTTAAAAGGAATTACAATTCCTCATTTTCATGGAATTAAAATTCCATGTCCCCCCTGATATTTTAATTCTTGGGATTTTAGGAAGAAAAAAAGATGGTGATTGAGTCAAAATTACCCCTTACTTTTTTAACCTAAAATTAATATAATGTCTAACAACAGCAATGGACATTTTTGACTTTATACTACTTATTCCCTTTCAATTCCCATGTATACCAAACATTGGAATTGAAATTCTCAGTAATTCTATTCCTGTAAACCAAACACTGAAATTTAAATTCCCACTTTATTCCTAGTAATTCATCTCCCATGGAATTGCAATTCCTTTCCCACTTAATTCCCCCTCTCCAACCAAACGCCCGGTAAATATTCACCACTTATAAAATAATAAACCCCACCTTTTTTTTAAATACTACGGACTCTGTTACAATATAATATATGTTCATATATACAAGGTTACCTCCATTTCATCAGGTTGCCTGCTTACGTGGAATGTGAGTTAACATTTTAAATCATTTTTAATAATAAACATTAAAAAAAAAAAAAAAAAAAAAAAACCACCGGGCAGGGGTGACCGCCGGCCGCCCCCTTCCCCCTCCTTCTTTGTCTGCGACGGAGACGAAGACAGACTCTTCGTCTTCAGGGGAGAGGGTGGTCGGCGACTACCCCAGCGTTTTGAGGTGTTCAGTGGTCTAATTACACTATTTTTTTGTTCAGTAGCCTAATTACACTTTTAGGTTACGTTCTGTGGCCAATTTGGACCACCTTATTCCCAAAATAATAAATCCTACCATCTTAAGAGATAGTAATTTAATTAAATTTTTTTAGTTTGATTTGGGTATGTAATGTTGAGTGTGATCATACACAAATTCCTATATGAATAGAAAATCGTCAAGTTGATTAAACATTAAGTACAGCTCCCCCTATATTTTCATATATATATATATATATATTACATTATTGCGCAGCGAGCTGAGCTCGATCGCTTCTCTATCATATCATATCGTGTTTGGTTTTCAGCCATCTATCCATGGAGCTTCAAGGTTGGCCCTTTGAGAAGTTGATCTTTTTCTTGATTATCGTCTCATCAATCTTTGTTCTCATACTCTATCTACTGAGGATAAAGCTCTTTTACTGCAGCTGCGATGTGTGCAGCGCTTACATGTCAACGAGTTGGTATGCGAAGTACAACAATTTGTGCGATTGGTACACTCATCTTCTCCGCAACTCGCCGTCGAAAACCATCCATATCCATGTCCTCCGGAACACCATCACCGCTAACCCGGAAAACGTGGAGTATATGTTGAAGAGCAGATTCGAGAATTTCCCCAAGGGGAAAGCGTTCTCGGCTATCTTGGGGGATTTTCTCGGGCAGGGAATATTCAACGTGGACGGAGATTCATGGCGGTTTCAGAGGAAAATTGCGAGCATGGAGCTGGGGAGGAGCTCCGTGCTATCGTACGCATTTGAAGTGATCCAAACGGAGATTGATCGCCGCCTTCTTCCGATCCTGGCGGGGAAGAAAGACGGCGGGGTGGTAGACTTGCAGGATGTTTTCCGAAGATTCTCATTCGATTGTATCTGCAGATTCTCGTTTGGATTGGACCCGAAGTGTCTGGAATCTTTGCTGCCGATGTCGGAGTTCGCGGTGTCGTTTCACTTGGCGTCGAAGCTGTCGGCGGAGAGAGCCATGAGCGCCTCCCCGGTTGTGTGGAAGATCAAGAGGTTTCTGAATATAGGGAGCGAAAAGGAGCTGAGAAAATCTATTGAGGTTATGAATATGCTGGCGATGGAGGTGATTAGACAGCGGCGAAAGCTAGGAACTTCCGACGAAAACCACAAAGATCTTCTGTCGAGATTCATGGGGAGCATCGGGGACGACGAAACTTACCTGAGAGATATCGTGATCAGCTTCCTCCTGGCGGGCCGCGACACCGTGGCTTCCGCCTTGACCAGCTTCTTCTGGCTGATCGCCAACCACCCGGACGCGGCGGAGGCCATTCTCGCCGAGGCGGATCGGGTGGTCGGAAAAAACCAAGATCTCATCGCGAGCGAACAAAGGATGAGGGAGCTGAATTACCTCCAAGCGGCGGTGTGCGAGAGCCTGCGGCTATTCCCGCCGATCCAATTCGACTCCAAGTTTTGCGTGGAGGACGACGTGTTGCCGGACGGGACGGCGGTGAAGAGGGGGACTAGGGTTACGTATCACCCTTACGCAATGGGGAGAATGGAGGGGATATGGGGCTCCGACTGCCTGGAATTCAAGCCGGAAAGATGGCTCAGAGATGGGGTTTTCTTCCAAGAAAACCCTTTCAAGTACCCGGTTTTTCAAGCCGGACTTAGGGTGTGTTTGGGAAAGGAAATGGCCCTTCTGGAGCTTAAAAGCGTAGCGCTGTCAGTCCTCCGCCGGTTCCGCGTCCACTTGGCTCAGCCCCACCACACCCCCCGCTTCTCCCCCGGCCTCACCGCCACTTTCCGCGACGGCTTGCCGGTTTTCGTTCAACAAAGGTAGTGCCCGCCCTGCTTAATTAATTAGCACGAATCATATAATATAAGAAAAATGTTCAAATGGACTTTAAAAGTCAATTAAGTTAGACTTTTTTAAGTTGTAATTAAACCCATCAACATTTTATTTTGGTGCAATAGCATATTACTAAAATTTTGGCAACTCTCCGGCACTATTTCCGACCACAAATTGATCGGCGATGGACGCTGATCGTCGGTTGATTTGCGGTCGAAAATGGTTTTTATTTTTAATTTGTTTTCACATATATGCATGCATGTACAAAACATTTGGCTATAAAGAAGCAGCTAGCTTAATTAGCTGGTGACCACCTGGGATGGTTTTTTCCAACCTTAATTTCTCCGAATCCGTGCTTTTAATGCACGGTCTAGTCTGCATCGACACCTTATTTATTGTGTATCTGTAATTCTATATATGTATTTATGTGAATATATATATAGCCAAATTTGAATGTTCAATTCGCACCTACTGAATATTACTCTCTTTCTCTTCAGCAATTTTTCCCTTACTGCAATAATGGTGAAACTGTTTTTGTTTGATCCAATCTCAATCTTTATCAAACTCCATCATATCATTTCACAACTGTGGTCATATATTTTATCTTAAAATTTAAAAAATATAATATATATATATATATATATATATATATATATATATATATATATATATATATATATATATATATATATATATATATATATATATAATCGTAAATCTATAAATTTTACAAATATTTATGTAAAACTGTCGCTTGTTACATAGGTAGAGATTTTATCAAATTAAATGCAGAATACTTTGATTATATCGGGTAGTTGTTATGAGTTTTCCTCATAAAAATTATTATAAATATATGCACACACAAAATATAATGTACAACATTTTCAATGGCGTGTTTCATATTTTAAAAAAGAGACACACTCATTAAAGTTATTGTCTTTCCTATCATTTCATTTGACAATTATTCAATATGGCAACATCAATAGGGGGCTTGACGGGCTTCTATTTTAGGTTTATGATGTGATACCATATGGCATATCACAAACTAGCTAGCTAGGAAATACATATAAAGTTGCTAAAAAAGCTAACCCCTATTTCCATATGGTGTTGTATTGTTATTTACTCAAGTTATATATCATTGTACATGCATACCACGTGAAACACAAAAGTGAATTTCTAATGTTGAATTGATCGATGTATATATTATTAAAATTAAAGATGTATTAAAATAATTTGAGAAAAATAGCAAATAAATAAAGAATATTGGCAAGTTACGGAATCCAATCCATATTACATTGAAATGATTGTTGTAATATTTCTATTTACATTGGGAAGATTTTTTTTGAGTACACAATATTACAATGTAATATGTTAATACGTACTTTCTCAATATACTAAAGTACAAAGTGATCTCCCGTTTTGGAGAGCCATAGTTATATCGCTCGACCACAAGGTCTTTGGCACATTGCGAAGATTCTATCTATATTGAAAAGAGAAAATTCTTGGTACATATATAGATGTTTGTTTACATTATTGAATATTGCATATGATTTATTTATTTGTGATAAATTTGGTCAATGACATTCAAATTTATGCTTATTGGTTGGTCATAATAGGATAAAGTTACAAGTACACAAAATTTTATCAAAATCATTCACCTTCTAATATGACAATAAAACTCTTTTTATTTATTAATTATCGTGAATTAATTAATTTTACCATGCGTTAAAAAAATGAACCTATTTACTAATTACAAATCATATATTGCCACCTTAGATAATGGATTTTTTTTATCAATAATGTACTAAATTCCTCCATCATAATATTATAACTAGTAAAACATATTTGGTAAGTATTTAAACAAAAGCAACACACATTTGGTTTAATATGATACTTAATTGGGTAAGTAATGTGTCTAAGGGAAGTATATATAGTTAGATAAATTAATTTGGTATTTAATATTCAATGAAAAGAACAGCATAATTAAGGGTATATTAATCTTGTCTAAAAAGTTAAAATTACAATATTTTCAACCTACACTATAATTTCATATGCAGACAAATATAATACGGACATGAATAAATCGGGAATATTATATTAACTTGGATTGGTTCTTATGTCGTTGTTGTTGTTTAATTTATTGGATATACATATAGCTGGTGGGCCGGGTGAAAATATTAAAGAGTGTGCTGATAATTTAGGGTAATATAATAATGTGCAATTAGGCATGTGCAGTGAGTAGCCGGCAAATGTTACTGTAAACCATGGCCTACACAATTGAATGAACCATGCATCAAAACATAGAAATAGTATAATTTATGCATACAAATAATGAATATTAATGGTGGGTAGTTGGCTGAGTTCATTTCTTGTTCGATTTGAGACATGACGTTGTGGCTTATCATGGAGGGATGTGGTTAAATGACAATGTCCACCTACTTATCACCAATTAATTTTAAGTAGGATATGATAATCAGATAGTCAAAAAACTATGGGGTTAAGCGTGCTTGACTTACCGCAGTCACCTACTAGGAAGTAAGCATAATACAGTGTTAAGATCCACTAAATAAGTTCAGCTATGTTTTACAAATAATGAACCTCATATACATTAGAAATGAGCCTAAAATGTGCATGCTTAAATAACCAATCTTCAAAAAAAAAAAGAACATTCAATCAATTTGACCTTATACATACATATAAATAATGAACATTGTGGAGCATGATAGATCCATCTAATAAGCATTGTCAGTGGTCCTTGTGGATCTGATCTGCAGCTGTTTAACAAAACATCAAGTGTCGGTTCCAAACACTTGTCAAATTATACAACGCTGCTTGGTTTGTACTAATTAAGGTTGTGCGCACTGAAGATTGGTAGGTCATAGGTGGACGCCCAGACCATGAAAGGCATCCAATACCTTCCCATCTTGTCTTGTAATTTTATTTTCATATTTTTTTAAAGCGATTATGATCATCATCATCGTGTTTGATGCAAAACAAAGAGTATTGGACCCCTGCTAATGTTATTCTTTATTATTATTATTATTATTATTATTGTAAAAAATTGTGTGAGAGAATGTGCTACAGGTCAGAGTCGTTTGGGGCTTGAAAATCGAAATCTAGGAAATAATTAGGTCTGCAAAATGATTGGAACATATATACAAGATTTCGGGATGTAGGTAAGAAAGGAAGAGAGTTAAAGGTACAGATTAGGCTAATGAGCAAAATTAAAGGATGAGAGTACACAAACTAAAAGAATGAAGCATAAAGTGGTGCGTTGGTGAGTAAAGTGATCGATTCTAGTGGGACAGTCTATTATTCAGCAGGGGCGTTATCAAGGGCATCCTCAATAGTTGAGGATTTTTTTTCAGATTTTTGTGAGCTCCAACATTCACCTCATCATTCACTATCTCACTCAATCACAAAAACTCTTATTCCCATTAGTTTTAAGTTTTTTCTCAACTTTTTGTGGACCCATCATTTTACCACTACTATATTTTAATTATTTCTTTATTTATTATCATTATAAAAGTTAATATTTTTATTATACATATCAAAATTAAAATAAATTTAAAATTATACATATTTACAAATTTTTTAAGTTATAATTTTATCACATCGAATCGAAATTTAATAATAAAGTTCAACATGAAAAACTTAAAAAAAAAAAAAAAAAAAAAAAAAGCAGCTGGCCAGCTTTTAAAAGCAAAAAAAAAAAAAAAAAAAAAAAAAAAAAAAAAAAAAAGAATAATAAAATGAATTTCAATTGAGAATGGGTGCCAGCTGGTGGCCACTCTAAACTCTCAATCGTCCCAGCCTCCCAAGCAGTGAGACATGCGTCTCACTAATTTTTTATTTTTTTTTCTGACAAAATTTCCATTCTTGCATAAGGAAGAAACTCTCCAAAAGCCCTCCTCCACATTTGTTAAGAACCCCTTCACCTAGTTTTTACTGTTTGAAAATCCAAGAACAATCCTCTTTTGGGGATGCTCTAAGCGGTTGGCCATGGGGAACGAACTGTCAACAAAAACATGTGATCAGCCTTGACCCTTGATAAGAAGGTTAATTCATGTTGAGTTGTGAAGTTGAGGGAACTGAGCATGAAAGCTTCATTGATGGAAAATCAGAGAGATAAAGGTTCAACATACAAAAGAGATAGACAAAACCCTTATTTAAGCTAAGCCTGATCTACAGTACATAACAGACTTAACCGAATTATGAAAGAGGATAAAAGGACATCAATGCCCCTGGCTTCCAAACTGTGGTGTGTTGCTGCTGCTTAATTGTTGCTTCGTCACCCTCCCGTAAGCTGGAGCATGAACGTCTTGAAGGCCCATCTTAGCATGGAAATTAGAAAAAGATACTCTTGGCAAGGCTTTGGTAAAGCCATCCGCAATCTGTTTTTGTGAAGAAATAGGGAATAACTTCACTACTCCTTCATTAACTTTCTGCTTAACCACATGGCAATCAATCTCTATGTGTTTAGTACTCTCATGAAAGACATGATTCTCTCCAATGGCAATGGCAGATTGATTGTCACAAAACAAAGCACTTGGTCTGTCATGATTCACTCTGAGGTCTGTCAGCAAGTACAAGACCATTGTATCTCACAAACTGAAGAAGTTAAGGCCTTATATTCTGCCTCAGAGGATGATATGGAAACAGTGGCTTGCTTCTTTGTTTTCCAAGAGATTAAGGACTCTCCCAGATATACACAATAGCCAGTAATGGACTTCCTGTCTCTATACATGTATTCCAATCTGAATCAGCAAAACCTTGTAATCTGAGTTGAGATTTTGCAGAATAAAATAACCATTTTCCAGGAGAGCCTTTGAGGTATCTTAGCACTCTGTGTGCTGCAACAAGGTGTGTGTCTTTGGGCTTATCAACAAACTGACTCAATTGTTGTGTAGCATATGAGATGTCAGGTCTGGTGTTTGTCAAGTACATAAGTGTCCCTACTAGTCTTCTGTAAATTTCAGGGTTTTCAAGCAGTCTTCCTTCCAAATTTGTGAGCTTTTGTCCTGCAGTGATGGGAGTCTCTGCAGGCTTAGCATCCATGAAACCATTCTCCTCCAAAATCTCCAGAGTATATTTTCTTTGACAAAGATTAAGACCACTGGGAGTTCTGAAGGTCTCTATTCCCAAGAAGTAATTCAAAGAACCAAGATCTTTGATTTTGAAGGCCTTATCCAGAAATTGTTTAAGCTCGGTAATCAACTTTGAATCTATCCCTGCAACCAAGATGTCATCTACATAGATGAGTAAGGCAATGAAGGATGTGTCTGATGCTTTGGTGAATAGAGAAGGATCTGCAATAGACTGCTGGAAACCATTATCTATCAGTGCTTTTGTCAACTTTGCATTCCACTGTCTACTGGTTTGCTTCAAGCCATATAGTGACCTGACCAATTTACAAACTTGCTTGGAGTTGTTACTCTGAAATCCAGGAGACAATGTCATATAGACTTCCTCTTTTAGATCTCCATGCAAAAAAGCATTGTTGATGTCTAACTGTTGAATATCCCATTCTTTTGCAACAACCACAGCTAGAAAAGTCCTAATTGTAGTCATTCTAGACACAGGAGAAAAAGTTTCAACATAGTCCACTCCACACTGCTGAGTATATCCCTTAGCAACCAACCTTGCCTTATACCTTTCTATGGATCCATCTGCTTTGTGTTTAACCTTGTATACCCATCTATAACCAATTGGGAACTTTTTCTGGTGGCAGATCTGTTAACACCCATGTTTTGTTCTCAACTAGAGCATCTATCTCAGATTGCATGGCTTTTCTCCAGGTTTCATGCCTTACTGCTTCATTGTAGGATTGTGGCTCACAAACAAAAGAAATATATGATGCACAAAGCTTATGGCTGGGAGTTAAACCCTCATAGGAAATGAATTTACTTATGGAATGAGGAGAAGTCCTGCCATGTACCTTATCATGCAACATAGAATGGCAATAATAGTCATTTAGTCTAGTAGGAATGTTTTTTACCCTTACTGACCTTCTGGGTTGTGGTTAACTATTATCCTCCTCATGTATATTTTCCTCTAAGACTGTGTCATTATTTGTCTCAGGACTTTCCTCACTGTCAACATTGTATGATGTATTATCACCAAAATTAAGGTTAGGGCCGCTTCATTCATCATTATGGTGCTCATCAACTTCTTCTGTAAGTTCAGAAGACATATCCTTTCTGTTAGCAAAAGATGGGATCAAAGGTGTTGAAAGATCAACTTCCTCAAACACAGATTGATCTGTATCAGGTTCTATGTTTTTGTTTTTTTCTTGGAAAAGATATATCTGTTCATAAAATTGAACATCTTTGGATACAAAAATATTTTGATTAGTGACAACATATAATAGATATCCTTTCACATTAGTAGGGATCGCTATAAACACACATTTTCTAGCTCTTGGTTGCATTTTGCTTCTTCCTTGTGCTGCAGTAGCACCATAACATAGACAACCAAAGGTTTTCAAATGATCATACCTTGCATTCCTGCCAAATAACATTTCAAAGGGAGCTTTCCAACCAATTATGGGAGTAGATAGTCTATTAATGAGATAGCAGGCATGAAAAACACAATGTCCCCAAAACTCCATGGGAAGACCAGATTGGAACTGTATGGCTCTGGCCACATTCAAAATGTGTTGGTGTTTTCTCTCTGCAACTCCATTTTGTTGGGGAGTGTAGGCACATGACTTCTAATGCGCAATTCCTTTTTCAGCATAGAAAGTGTGCATGAAGAATTCTCTCCCATTATCTGTTCTTACAACCTTAATATTTGCAGAAAATTGAGCAAGAACAGAGTAATTGAAGTTCTGAAATAACATTTTAACTTCTGATTTATTACTCATTAGGTGAAGCCAGGTAAATCTGCTATGACCATCAACAATTGTTAGAAAATAATGTTATCCTTTTAGAGAAGCAATGGCAAAAGGACCCCAAACATCCATGTGGATCAAATCAAAGCACTTTTCTGACCTAGAATCACTAATAGGAAAAACCGATCTTTTATGTTTGGCAAAATGGCAAGCATCACAAGCAAAATCATGCAATTTGAGATGTTGTCCATGTTTTATTCCATTCAAAAGATGTATCTTATTCATAGGATAGTGGCCTAATCTATTGTGCCGCAATTGTAAAGACAAACTATTACACTGAATATCAACATTCTTATCAACACAGTGAGTCTGCCTTATGACTGGGGGTTCATTTATCAAGTATAACCCATCCTTCTCCTTAGCAAAACCAAGTATTGTCCCATAAATATCCTGAATATTACATGCATTAGTATCCATAATGATCTTGCATGATGTCTGCTTAGCTAATTTGCTAGCATAAATGATATTGAATGTGAATGATGGAATGTATAACACATTCCGCAGTAATATGTTGTGATGCAATCTGATCTCTCCTATATGGCTAACATTAACTGCCTCTCCATTGGGCAATTTCACAAGCACTCCATGAACCATTTTACAACTTTCAAAGTACTCTGGGGAACAAGTGATGTGATCTGTTGCCCCTGAGTCTAAAATTCATACAGTAGAAATCATAGCAGTACTAATAAGCAGGTTAGAGACAAAACTACCTTCATTAGGACTCTCAGAGGTATTTTTGAAGGCAGCCTTCATTCCTGAGGTATTCACTGTCACAACTGCATTAGTTGAAGATTGATTTCCTTGACCTTGATTCTGTATGAGAGTCATCAATCTCTGAAATTGATCAGATGATATCCCTATGTCACCAACTTGATTTACAGAGGAATTTGAAGGCTGATAGACATCCTGATTCTGTCTGTTTTTAGCCTTGTACCCTGGGATCCATCTGGGGGGATATTCATGTTTTTTGTAGCATTTTTCAACAGTATGACCAGTCATGTTACAATAAGTGCACTTAGGCGCATTCTTCCCCCCATTATTGTTAAATTTCTTCTTGAAGTTTGAGGCTGAGACTGCCACAAGGCTTTCTTCATCTGGGAGTTGGTTCTAACCACTCTGAACAACATTGGACTGAACCAGTTCATTGCTTCTTTGTACAATGGATCCATTAAACTTCCTTTCTATTTTCAAAGCCATGTTAATGACCTTTTCCATATCTGGAATAGGGTCCATTACAAGAGCACCTGACTTTATAGACTCAAATTCATCATTGAGTCCATCTAGGAACCTAATAACTTGGTCATCTGCTCTTTCTTTCTGCATTTTACGTAATAGATTGCAGGTACATCTAGGAGTACATTCACATACCAACAAAGGTCTCATAGCATTCATTTTCTCCCAAAACGCACTGCATTTAGTAAAATATTCATTCACAGTCAAGTTACCTTACAAATTCCTGTAGATTTGATTCTGCAATTCAGCAATTCTGTGAGGATCTGCTTGTGAATACCTTTTCTTAAGGGACTTCCAAATGTCTGCGGGTATTTCATAATATAGAACAGTTTCTGCAATACTGGAATTGAGAGACTTCAAAATCCACGAGCACACAATGTTGTTACATCTCCTCCATACATAAAATTTTGGATCACCTTCACCTGGATTTGGAATGGATCCATTAGCAAAGCCAAATTTATTTTTAACATCCAAGGCTATCTTCATCGATCGGCTCCACGATGCGTAATTATGTTCAGACAAAGGAGGAGAAACGAGAACAAAATTTGGATTCTCGGTAATGTGCAAGTAGAATGGATCATCAAACCCATCACTCCTCTGGATCGGACTGTGGCTGATTGGATTCTGATTTGCAGGAGGCGATGTCTGTCTGGCTGAGTTGCCTTCATCAATTTCGTTGCTCATCATCACTACTACTGCGTAGCTATGGCGTCGCTCTGATACCATGATAAGAAGGTTAATTCATGTTCAGTTGTGAAGTTGAGGGAACTGAGCATGAAATCTTCATTGATGGAAAATTAGAGAGATAAAGGTTCAACATACAAAAGAGATAGACAAAACTCTTATTTAAGCTAAGCCTGATCTACCGTACATAACAGTCTTAACCGAATTATGAAAGAGGATAAAAGGACATCAATGCCCTTGGCTTCCAAACTGTGGTGTGTTGCTGCTGCTTAATTGTTTCTTCGTCAGCCCTTCATGCAGGTCTTTGGTGCGATCAAGGATGACGAATGGTTTCCAACCAACGTTTTTGCCGCATGGTGCGTTGGTGGGTCTTTGATGGCTTGGCGGGACATGTGGATGGTCTCGATCAATTGTTGACATCCTCGTTCACTCATTCTCTACTTTTTTTACTTAAAAATACTACAATTACCCGAAGATCATGATCTTCTTAAGACATCATTAACTCATACTTAGAGAATGGTCAAACAAGCTAAGGTATTTATCTTTCCCACTTGTCTGAGGGAAGTGCTTGGCATGAAAATTATCAAATTGGGCATGGGATTTGAGCTCGTTGGCTAGATTATTTATTCCTTTTATTATTAGTTATTTATAGCTTGATCTTGGCGTACTGAGGACAAAACCTTATCAATATGATTTATTCTTTTCGTCATTCGTAATTTTATATTTATCACCGGTCAAAATATGATATAATGGCCCGAAGGCAAAGTTATAGACTAAGGACTTGGAGGCAAGTCGAGGGATGACCTCAAGGTCGACTTGACTTGACCTAACTAGGGTTAGTATTGATGGATCTCAGGCTGCATTATGCTTACTTCGTGACCCATCATGTGACTACTATAAGTTAAGCACGTTTAATCACATAATTATTTGGCAATTAGTTGTCATATCCTATTTAAAATTAATTGGTGATAAATAGGTAGACATTAACCATTTAACCACATCTCTCCATAGTAAGTTGCAGCGTCACGTCTCAAATTGAGCAGGGCCTGAACTTTGATCAACCCGGCCGATGCCCAACAAGCATCATACATCACATGCGCAACCATTGAACCCTTTTTTTCCCTTCTAGTGCATGTTTTTAGCATTCAAGTGCCCGTTTTGTAGCTTTCAAGTGCATGTTTTCTTTTTTAAGAGTGCATAATTAATTTCCTTCAGATTTTCCCATTTAGAGTCTTTTTTTCCTCCCTTGCCTTCTGGTGATCCTCTTTATGCCTTTAAGTGCTCAATTTAATGCCTACAAATGTATGTGTCTTACTATTGTGTAAAAATAAATAAAAAATACTTAGCATTCAAGTGAACCCTTTTTTTTTTCCTTATAGTGCATGTTTTTAGCCTTCAAGTGCACATTTTTATGCCTTTAACTCCTTGAAGTGCATTTTTTTTTTTTTTTTTTGCCTTCAAGTGCACAATTTTAGACAATATTTGTTATTTTCAATAACATATAACTAAATTTCTAATGAATTTTGTGAGATTTACAAATGATTTGTATAATAATTGCTTTAATAACACTTAAGTTGAATAATTTTTCTCTTTGGTACCATAAATCATTAAATTGCATCAATTGCACACCTATTTACTTCGAGTGCAGAATTTTAGTCTTCAAGTGCACATTTTTTGTATCTTCAAGTGCATAATTTTGAACTTTCAAGTGCACAATTTTAATTAATTCGAAATTTTTTTTTAAAGAGCATAATGACTAAAATGTGTGCACATTTTTTACCTGAAGAATCATTCGCACATGATCCTATATATATATATATATATATATATATATATATATATATATATATATATATATACACACACTTTGTAGCATGTTAGGTAGTGTCATTATTTGAGTCCTTATCGATCATAGTCCCTAGATATACTTAATTGGATTATTATTTAGTACTCTTAGCAGATTCCTGGGTGCACTCAAATTATACTATATTAATATTGTAAAAAGTACAGTACAATATGCTCTTTATGATATTCTTTTTATGAGCGGTTCTTATTCATTGTACGGTGATGCAATTATCTATTTAATTTTTTTCGAACTTTTCTTTTCATAGTTTTTTTTTTTTAAAAAAAAAATCTTTTCATAGTTTTTGTCTTCATTGTTTTATTATATACGTTGTCAATTGATTTAATTATTTTACAAATAAATATTGCCTAAATTTATCATCTTCTTTTTTCTTTCTTAAAGAAATGATTATATGTAGTACACTTAAGTAAAATAATAATGAATAAATCAATTTTAATGAAAATAATGAATATCTTTAATTACAATAAATAAATAAAAGTAATAAATAATAGACTAACCAGTTTCAAATCATAGAACTATTAAGCTCCAATGGGGAGCTACCTTATATTGAGCGGAACGGAGTTAATTGACTTTACAAAAAATTTATTATTTTTATGTATATTAATGTATTATGTATGTTTAAATTTTTAAAAATTAATTCAATTAAATTTAGTATCATTAAGATAACTTTTGGTTGAGTACTTTTGTACCCTATTACTATTATCAACTATTTGATTAACATTATCATTTTGATTCCAATGTTGAAACCAAACACATCCTAAATTGGTAAGTATATAATAACAAAAATTATTTATTTAAATAGAAAAAGAAATGTAAAAAACGTAGTTAACTCATTCTTATTACACCCTTCTTCTTATCCAAATTTACTTTTTACTCTTTAAATTATAGAAAAATAACAACTTTTCTCACATCAATTATACAGGTTGTCACTTTTAATCTCGTAATTGTTGCCCAAGTGTATTTTTCTGTTCCATAGTTATATTATGGCTGACAGACAATTGATGGACAAGAAATTCTACTGTGTAGATAATTGTAGGGGTGTTCATTCGGTTAACCGTTCGGTTAACCGAACCGTTTTAACCGAACCAAATTAATCGAATTTTTTTTTGCTTTAACCGTTAACCGAACCGAAATTTACTCTACCGAATTGACCGAACCGAACTTTTTTTCGGTTAATCGGTCGGTTAACCGATTAACCGAAATTTTTAACCCTAAAATTTAAAATCCATAAAATAATTCCTAAAATAATAATTCTAATTAAAATAAAATACATATCATAATAAATTCATATTATTATTTATTCTATTTGACATTTTGACTATTTATGATTTTAGTAATTATATATTTAATATTTAATATTTAATATATTATATATTATATATATATTCTAAAATTCGGTTAACCAATCGGTTAATTCGGTTAACCGACACTTTCGAACCGAATTAACCGTTAACCGAATTTTGGAAAAACCTTTAACCATTAACCGAACCGAAATATTTCGGTTCGAAAACGGTTAACCGAATTTCGTCGGTTCGGTCGGTTAACCGAAATTTCTCCAAAATTTGCACACCTCTAGATAATTGAGCAAAGAAAAATGACAACGATATAAATGAGAGATGACAAATGTTATTTTTCTATAATTATTCAATGACTCGATATTGACAAATTATTGTGTGAATCGTGGTCTACGTAGTGTTGTATGAACCATAAAAAATATATTTTTAATGTACTAAAAGTACATTATTTGTGCATTGAATGTACTTTTAGTATTCAAATAATGTACTTTTTCTGAATACAAAGTAATTTTAAAAGTACATTATTTGTGACTAAATGTACATTATTTTATAGTATACAAAATATGGTCCACAGCATAATGATTGTTCAATGTTCAACAATTATATCGTGGATCATGGTCCAAAAATGACGTAAAGAAACGACAGTAGTTAAAGCTTAACGGCGCGGGTATTTTTGGTGTGTTAATTACCAAATGAAACTATAGTGTATTTAAACTGACATTGCCTCACGTATTATTTTTATATTATCAAATGAAACTGCAATTGAATTAAAGTGAAACTGTAGTTGTGTTGAAATGAAACTGCAATGTATACAAACTGAAATTGAATAACAATTTCACATATTTGAGTGTATAATATCGAACGAAACTGTAGTTGTGTTAAAATAAAACTGCAATGTATACAAAATGAAACTGAATATGTTATACAATCAAAGTTACTTTTTGCGAACAGCACGAAAACATGTGTCATTTCTTTTCATTAAAAGAAACGACGTTGTTTAGATGCTTAGACCACAATCAATGTTTGCCTAGGCATATTTTGCTTTCAAAAAATAAATAAATTTGAAGAGGGCCGGATTAGATGGGCTCACTAAATCAGGCAGTCCAGTGAAGGAATGTCCAACGAAATGGTACAAAAGCCCAATCAATAATATTCCAACTTCTAAAATGTTATCTGGAAAAGAAAAGTACAATCCTGAATAACCAGGGTTCGATTCTCACAATTACTTTCCGACGCCTAATTCTAGGGCTCTACGCCTCTACCTCACAACAATGGAAGCTGAGCCAACAGACATGGACGTAGAAGCTCCTCCTGCCGAAGGATTGAAACACTACAAGAGGACGAGAAGGAGAAAAGAGCAACAGAATGCGCCTGCCGAGCAGCCGCAGCAGATGGAGGCGCCGCTGCCGCTGCCGGAGGTGCCGGCCGAGGATGTGTCCGGTCAGGAGGCTCCACCGCGAGTTGAATTGTCGTTGTTCGATGATTCCGTGGAAAATCACTTCAGAGCTATTGATACTATCTCCCAGCTCTGTGGTGAGCCGGATATTGATGATTCTACTGATCAAGCTGAGCTTCGACGATATGGTTCTTCAATCACATTCCTATCGTAAGTGCTGAAGAAAACCTCGTTTTAGTGTTTTAATGCTTGCTACAGTATGTAGTACATGTAAATGTATATGTATGCTTATAGGCATAAATGCTTACTTTTGAACTAATTTTAGTACTTCCAGTTAGCCATTCCTTCGCTTAAATTTCGTCTTTGATTTCAGAGAATGGAGATATTTTAAATACAAACCGAGAAGCATAAGATTTGCTTGTGAAAGTGAGAAGAGTGGTAACGGGAAAGATGTCAACGGGGAAACTATCTTACCTCAATTTTCAGC